TCTATTGTTGATTACTTATTTCCAAACTTAAACAAATTTAACAATAAATGTTTAAGATTCTCTGCGTTTTGTTTTTCTAAACTTTTCTCAGTCGGTTATTGATAGAGATAATATAAATTCCTTTTAACGAAGGAAACATTTTTTCTCATCGAATTTCTACCAAAATTCAAAATTAAACGACTGGAATTAAACACACTATTTGTCCAAAATAGCGTAGTAGACCACAGCTAAATTGTCCACATCATAAAAACAAATTTTGGAAACTATACCATTGCATTCAATTCTTATTTTACTATTTTTAAGAGTTACGTTGCGTACACCTTTCAACGTTCAGTACTCTCAATTACAATTGGAAGTTTTTTCCATTCTACATTTCTTTCCAGTATCTTAATAGTTGAATTATAAATTTATTAAAAAAAAAAACTATCAAAATCAATAAATAATATAATTTATTCGAGAGCTAGATGGTTGGTAAGTTTCTTTTTAAAACAATAAGCTCCATAGTGGATTTTTTTTTTAAACACGGAAACATTTCTATCCGCTACATATAATTATTTGCCTCTATAGGATGACTGTGTTTCAAATGAATACCACCAATATCGCCAATAAAAATTTCAAACAATTATTAGTCAACTGACAAATTTAACGAATCAACACAAAAAAGGACAGTCGCCAATATGGCCAATAACAATCAATCAACTGATAAATTTAACGAATTAATAATCTTGGAAATACTCACAGGAATAGTCAACCTTCAGGTACTTCCGTGGTACTTTTAGTGAGTGAATCCTACTTCTGATGTTAGATTTGATTAATTATCAAGACAAATAATTATTTAGTTACCAAGTGATTACCGATAAAACACAATGCATGAGAATCAGCCAACAACCACAGCTGATCACATTAGACACTCAAGGCGACTCAAATCGTTCTGCCTGGAGGACAGTTTTGCCACATCAATTAATTTTTTCGTAATTGAATTTTGAACCAAAAGGTAATAAAATCGTAATAGATAATATTTTAAAGTAACATAAATGTACCAGAACTATTATTAAATACATTTTTCTACGTTCATGCAAAAAACAAAACTTTATTGAACTATATTTAGTGAAAAAAACTGGGTCTAAATTGTACTAGTGCAATAAAAATTTTATTGCACTCATCTGTCATTTCACTACAGCGTTTTATGATCATGACAAACATAAATATTCAAATCAACGCCAAATATTTAGTCCATTTTCATTTTCTGTGTTACGTTTTAAAAATAATTGCATGTTTTATATTATTTTCAATCATTTAATAAATAAATTAATAAAAAGATGTATTTTATTAAAAATGTCATTACAAATTATGAACACAAACGTAAATAAATGCCTCAAACAAAGGTACACGATCACGGCTACTATGATTTGGATAATACAACTGCAGTTCTATAAAACATTTTTTGGTTTTTGCATGAATGTAGAAAAAATATTGTATGCAACTCGTATAAAAAGTGTTTATTGCACTCGACGTGTTGTCCAACTCGGCCTGACGGCTTCGTTGGACAATTTCACGTCGCGTGCGATAAACACTTACTTTTTGCACTTGTTGCATAAATAACTATTAACAATAAAACTTTTTTATTTAGTTGAGAGGAAATTATTTCTGCTGCTGCAAAAGAATGGGGTAATGAAAATAAACCACAAATTATTATTTTTTTATTTTAAAAATTTGATTCATGCAGTGTTTAATTTTTATTTTAAAGATGTTAGCCCAAAATTCACCTAAGGGTAATTTTTTGTAATTTAGTATTTCTTCAGTCTTGAAGGGGTCTACATTATTAAAAACAATATATAAATTATGCTGGAGGCTGGTGGTTATCTCCTACTAAACTAAAAACTGACCAATAACAAAAAAAATAATACAATAATAATAAAGTGACGCATATCTTGGATTTATTGAAACAAGAAAACACAGAAATAACAAATGCATAGATTTCTAATTTTTTTAAGTATGGGCTAGAAGTTTAAATGGAGCCACTCATAAAATTTTGATATTTTAAAAGGTAATAGATTTTTCCTCTTTTCTTAAAAGTCGTAATAACGTACTGGTGTAACTTTTTAGTAATAGATTTGTTACAATTGTAATAGCCACGGCAACACTGCTGGAGGAGCGCTGACTACGGTTCGAATCAATTCCCCGCTCCGGGCTCTTGACTGCCGATGTGCTTTACCATACTACAATTAACAAAAATTTGTTTACTTGCTAACATACAGTTATTATCTTTGTCGCTGGGCGAAAGAGTACATTATGCAACAAGAGAGAAGAGGTGAAGCATCTAATCTGAGTTTGCATCCAACTACAAAACTAATAACTTCAATTTTAGAGTCTAATATAATCCGTTTCAAGTGTTTTTAAGTTAATTTAGGTTGAAAATGAGTGGGATGATCTCATCGCCTTCCACTGCGACCCAGATGGGTCTATTGTGGCTAGGTTAGGTTAGTTCATTTAATGCATATAATATGTATAAACCGTTAATAAAAGGATCTAAGCGTTTTATTGATAACCAGGGAAGTAATAAATGGAAAAACAACTGTACCAGATGTTCAAATACCCACAATTTCTTTAGTAAAAATATTTTTTTAAAGACTTTTTCACGTATCTGATACAATTCCCAGTCTTGAAAGGGTTTAGATTAAAAGTAAAACATTTTTTTATATTTTAATTGCAAAAAAGGCAAATGCATGCCTTAACAAAATATTGTATAGAAATGAACAAATCTGATTTGTACAAACATTACAATCTAAATAGGAACAAAACTAAAATTAAAATCACATTTCTACTAACACTACATAACAAAAAACTGCAAACATAAATAATACATTTTTTATTAGACAATATAGTAAATTATGCCAATATTCAAATAATTTTAACATTTAGACAGATAATACTGATTTGAACTTTTAAAGTTTAATTCAGCATTTATTATGTTTAATCTTTGTGTACAATGCTATATTAATATTTTTTATTTAAATAATTTCAATCTGTACTGCTATTTTCTATAAATAAGGCGATAATTTCTTATATTCTGAATCGGAAACATTATAACTTTCAGTCTTATAACATTACCTTTATTATCACTATAAAATGGAAAGTAAATTCTGCATCTGATAAAACTCGGCTCTCAACTAGTAGGTTATTGATTACGTTCCAAAAAGAGGGCAATAAGGAACGATCACCTTCGCGGGTTTTTATTGCATGAATCGTTCAAATGGTCATTAAAGATAAAAAAACGTGAATTAGAGGGTGGAAAGTGGAGGTAAGGGTGAAAATGCAGCACTTGTAGTTTTTTAAGTATATCTCGAAAACGAAATAAAATTCAGCTATAGTTTATACAGTAAATTTTTTGTAGAGAATGTGATTTTCCATCGAAATAGATTCAAATAAAAAAAATTAATTTTTTTATGTAAAAAATATAAAAAAAAAAACATTTTTTGCTTCATACAAAAAAACAAATTAAATTTCCTTTAAAATGGTGGTTTAAAAGTGTTTTGGATAAAAACGGACTGACATATAGCCGCTCAAACTTTGCAATTTTTTTAAAGCATTTACCTTGATTTCGTTTTAGTTCTTTTTTTTACATCAAAATTGATTTTTATTGAATAAAAATGTATTTTAATTTAATTTATTAATAAAAATGCAATATTTTTATGAATGTGCAAAACTAATTGGTTTACAAAGTCACAACATTAGGAAAAAACTGTCAAATTTATAAATAAAAATATTTTAATTAAAATCTTATAGACACATTTTTATTAATCAGAATACATTGGGGCAAAGCTAAATAAGACCTTCAGCAACGTTCGTTTCCAGCATTTCTGCAAACTACCAAAAAGTGCAAAATTTTCTCTTGTCCAATTACCGACAACACGTGACTCCACCAAACACCATAGTTTATGAACATATTTCCAAATGCAGCAGTGAAACGGTAATCATTTAAACCCTCTCAACTAGGATTGAAAATAATCGAAATATGTATTGATTGTGATTTGCACGAATGAATCACCTGTGCCAGAAAATTGGATTGTCTGCTTTTTTAATTCTTTATTTTTTACATAACAAAAATGTTTTAAATCTTTTAAATAAATTATTTCGATGGGAAATCGAATGTTCTACAGAAAAGTTCTTTTAACTATACCTGAATTTTGATTCGTTTTCGAGTTATAATTAAAAAACTGCAAGGATTGCATTTCACCCCTTCTCCAATTCAATAGCAGTCGAGGTTTTTTATTTTTAATGACTATTTGAGGTGATCGTTCTTTTCTATGACATAATCAACATCCTGTAAGGGCGATTTTCAACCCTATACTCTTTCTACTTTCTAATCAATTAAAATTTTGATGTGTCATTAATGACACATTAAAAAAAATATTTTGTAATCCCGAAGGTTATAATATGACACTTCATATACGAGTATTATGAAAGCTAATATTATTAGTAATTATTAATAGATAATTATTCCCTAAGGGTGGTCAAAATAATCGATTAATTAAATGGTCCAAAATAATCGAAAAATTGAATAATAAAAAGTTATCAATTTTTTTTTGAGTAATTAATCGATTTTTTCCTAACTTAATTTATCCATTATTTGAAAATAATCGTTTAATCTGGTTAATAATAATCGACTAATCGAAAATAATCGATTAATCTAGAATAATCGTAACATTTAAATTTTCGTAGGGAGAGATCGGGTGGAAAAATCGACATATGAATGGATTTATAACTCTAAAATTTGTCACCAAGATACTGAATTTATTTCTCCATAACTTTCCACATTGTACACCTACTCTAATTTTCAAAAAATTAAATTAGTTTCAAGCTCCGTTCAAAGTATTTTTTTACTAATGAGACATGAACAAACTATTTAATTTACAACCACTAAATATTGTTTTAATACTGCAAATTAAGGAACTTTCAAGATTTTCTGTAAATTTTAAGTTAAACACTCTCATTTACATTCAGAGATCCTGCACAAAATGTTTATATGTTGTACCCCTTGCGGCTAAATAATCATACACAGATAGCACAATCTCTCTATATACATTTTGGTTAACATTTTTACCTACTCTATACAAGACAAAAAAGTCGCCGTAAGATAATTTTTTAACAATAAATTTAGCTTTTTTTCCTTCTAGTTTACGAGCTTGTGCTCTTAACAAATAAATTCTAAAAATAGGAACAAACATAAACACCGCCCTGTATAAAATACAGAAGAACGAAATTATTAATAAAATGAACAGCCAGTACCACAATATAAGAAACACTTTTTGATTAAGAACGTTTAATGGCAGGATGCAAAGTGCGTCCAACCATTGTATATCACCTGATGGACCATATTTATAGTAAGTGCATTTCGCCATCTTTGGAAAAATCCTATTCATTGGATTTATTATGTCGTAGGTGGCGTGTGCAATACCGTAAGTTGAAAACTGACCATTTATAAACCAATCCATCAAATATATATTTGTCACCTAAAATATTTTAATATTTAATCGAATGTACTTAAGTAAAATGTTTATAGAATAGGATACATATTAAATCCTATGCCACAAGGGTGGCATAGGATTTGTTTCCGATATTAGCCACTACACTAAAGTAAAAATTCACCGCGAAACGGCGCCACCTGTCAAGAAATTTCTATGAATTTTATTATTTCTAGACAGGTGGCGCCATATCACGAGGCGCCTTTTGGAAATAATGCTCCAGAATAAATGTTGCTGGTCTACTCAGTGGCACTGTTGCTCACAGCCAATTTTACGTTAATGTTAGAGATCTGGTGTATATTCTACATTTTGAGCCTTGTTTTGTTTTAGTCTACAATGTTTCTGTGACAACCAAGTCAAGAAAGCGTGTTGACAGCATTACGGTTGAATCAATTTAAAATAAATAATATACTTGAATTACTTACCACATTTGCAAAATTTAAAATCTCACAAAAGCAATAGCGGATTGTATATACTTTATGGGCGTATGTGTCATGTAAAATATTCCTAACCAATTTATCCTTTGCTGCATGATTCCACTTGTCCGATGTCAATGGTCCCCCTAAAATATACTTTTTTTATTATCTTGCTACTAAGAACAAATTAGTATATGTTACCAAACTCTCCTACGAGTTGTTTTAATCTACCACCTTCGCAAACTTTCCATAAATATCTAGGCAAATAAAACAGGACAGCCTGCAGAGCGAACACAATACAAACCCATTGGTAATACGTTTGCCGGTTTACATCTGTAGATTGCTTTTTTGCGGGACCAAAACCAGGTGTCCTGTAATCTAAAATATATTAATGAATATGTCTATTTGACTATTTTATATTTGAATTACAATATTTATAGCAAGTCAAATAAAGTAAATAAATATGAAAAACAAAATCAGCATATATGATGAAAACAGGTTATAAAATAAAATATGGGTACCAATATATTGATTACTAGATAAGATCTGTGAGTTTTTAAGTAGATTAAAGATATTCTTGTTGCCGAATATGTTCAAAATACCCACAAAGTAAAAACAATAACATAATAGTAATGTTATAATCCAGTGAATTTTTCTGGCTGACTTAGTTAAGCGAAAAGGGTTAGTTCTGATGTTGTTTGCTTGCAAAATAAAATGATGTATATCTGATTGTTTAGTTAAGGATTGCTGTCTTTGTGAATTTCGATTAAAACGTATAGCAGGTATAGTGTGCAGAAATAAATACACATTATTCCCCGGCTTTTCACGACCATTTCTAAAAACATAATAGTTGTTTCCAAACCGCTCTGAGTTTGATACATCTGATTGATGCCAAGTTTCATGTATGCCTATAAAGTCATATTGAATTCGGAAGTTTTAGAATTTAAGACTCTAATGTTTTGGTAGTAACAGTATAGATCATGGTTTTAGTGTTTTTTGCTATTATAGGATTTTCATTGCAGTAAAAAATTTTTAAATGTTCTCCATTTTTAATGCGATCATTTATATTTGCTTTTAGGTTTTTAAAATTTTCAATTTGATGAGGAATTTTATCAGGGGTCACTACAATATGTTTGAAGTTAGTGCCCTGTTTGATGGGTTTACCGCTATTAATTACAAGATGGTGCTACATCTTTATTCTTAGACCACTTTGACAGCTCTAGGTAGGGATGCGTTATCACGTTCTATTAAATTTGGATCGTATCATAGTTTGGCTGAGTATCATTTTCAGCTAGACCAAAAATGACAATATTGATTTTCCTGGACTCTTGATGTCAGTTCAGTCATGATATCTGTTATAGACCAGAGCATACTGGCGCATTCGTTTGCAAAATTGTTTTAATTCGTAATTTTTTTTTTTTAAATATCGGGAAGGCTTTCCTGATTATAAAAGTGTAAGATGACACTCGATATCTGTTGATGTTATTGTTTAAACAACGAAAAATTAATTAAGCCAGAAAAAATACATTTTTTGCAATGAATTATTTTTTTATATATTCTTTTAGGATATTTCAAATAAAAAAGCCTTTAATTGTTATGAATGTTTTAAAATCCGAAATTGACAAAAATTCTAATTTTCTTGAATTAAATAATATACCTTAAAATTCAAACTATAATAAACAAAATAACCTAAATAAATTTTCAAAATTTTGTTTGTTGTTATGTTTTTTTTATGTTATAACAATATGCTTCCTACGCGCGTGTTCTTTTAGAGAGAAGTACTTCTGTCTCACTTCCAACTCAATGTATAAGCCCAGTATATATGTATAAGATGGGTAATAGCGGATTCGACTGGCTGCATTAATGCGCATTTAGTTCGACTTTTTTAAGTGATGTTTATTCGACTGGCAGAACCTAATTAATTAAAAGTAAATTATTGCATTCGACTGAAATTGCTCAGTACCAAGGCACAGTGAAATTTTTGTTCGACTGGCAGGCGACCCTTGCTCAAAGTTCGAATTTTTTGGAACTGTACTTTTTTTCAGTGCCAGTGTCATTTTGGAGGTTAGGATTTATTTAATATCTTTAAATATATTACCATCTTCGTCTCTATTATTAGTGAGAAAGGAAAATCTTTGAAATTGATAGATTTAATTTTTGGTTTGGCAACTATAAATAAACCTAAAATGTCAAGTGCTAACTGTGCCAGTCGAATAAGTATAAAGATGCGCTACACCATTGTCGAACTCTAGCTCGTGCTTGCTGTGTGCACTGCTAGATATGAATTTGAATTATAAAAATCCTGCCCAAAATCAATTCAGAACTGAAAGCGCTTTGTCATCGAGCAAGAGCATTTGAGTCGAATTCGCTATAAGAGAAAGCCGGATGACGCGCTAAATCAATTTTTTGCTGTTTTTCGGCGGTAATAAGTTTAAAAAAATTATTAGTAACATTTTTCATCACTTTGTTATATTTGCCGATTAATAGTTTTGTATCATGAGATTTTTTTTTACTATTTTAGATACTATCGATAACTTTTTTATTCATTGAAGTTAATAGAAATGTTTCATCCACAAAAAAAAATCATTGCCAAGAGCTGTCTAAGAAATAAATTTTTCTCACTTTTTTACTTTCCTATCTGTATACAGATATAAGGAAATAGGAATCATGATTTTTTTTCGACATCGAGTTTTCGACGGATTTTTACGTTTTGAGGTCCCCTGAATCCGTTTTGACTATTTTCGCGATGATGTCTGTCCCTGTGTGTGTCCGTGTGCGCGCGCGTGTGTGTGTCCGTGTGCGCGCGTGTGTGTGTCCGTGTGCGCGCGTGTGTGTGTGTGTGTGTGTGCGCGCGCACGCGTGTGTGTGTGTGTGTGTGCGCACGCGTGTGTGTGTGTGTGTGTGCGCGCGTGTGTGTGTCGCATAACTCATGAACCGATACATCGAAAAACACCAAATTATAAACTTAAGCTTTGTTTCAGCGTCCAATGGACTGATTAGATTTTGAGCAGAGTCAGAACATCTGGGGGGGGGGGGGGGTACTTTATAGGTGGTCATTTTTATATTTTATGGAATATATGTTATTTACGTTTGGGGAAAAAAATTCTTCAAATAAAAGTTACTTCTTATATTATTATCTATAATTTTTGTTCTATACAAAATTTTCCTAAAATGGTCCGTATTCGAGAAATTTTACAAAATGTAAAAAAATATTTTTTTATAAAAATTGTTCAAATAAAAGTTTTTTGTAATATAATTCTCTATAATTTTTATCCTATACATAATTTCTCTAAAATGGACCGTAATCGAGAAATTTAAGAAAATTGTAAATTTTGAAATTTGAAGAAAACTCAAAAACGGATAAAGAAAAAAACATTAAATTTTAAACTTAAGTTTTATTTCGGCCTGACGTGAAATGATTAGATTTTGGACAAAGTCGGAACATCTGGGGGGTACTTTTTGGGAGGCCGTTTTTATATTTTATGGAATATATGTTATTTATGTTTGGAGAAAAAAATTGTTCAAATAAAACTTCTAATATCTATAATTTCTGCTTTGTCAAAATTTCCTGAAATGGTCCGAATTCGAGAAATTTGACAAAATGTGCAAAATTCCGATTTTTATGAAAATTGTTGAACTAAAAGTTGTTTGCGATATCGATCTCTATAATTTTTGTTTATACATGATTTTTCTAAAATGGACCGTAATGAAAAAATTGTAGGAAATTTAAATTTTTCAGTATTTTCGTTTTCAATGAATATCTATAGAAAAATGTTTCGAGGTAGATGTATGTGGACAATGTATATATTTAGTTTTACCTCTAAACATTTATAGAGATGCTGAAATAGGTTGTACAAAATAACCGGAAAAAGCCTATAATAACTAGATAGGAAAGTCATGTGTTGGACACATCAGATTTTTTCCAATAAGATAAAAGAAGACAAACATACCTGCGTAATTCAAGGGAAATTTCTACCTGTTATGATGAGCATAGTTGACTCACCTGGTTTTTATTTTAAAACAGAGTACGCAATATATATGTATTCAATTTTTTCTATGGTTGTTAATTCTTTTCCACTATGATTATTTAATAGTAATATTCATTTATTAAGAAAATGTTTACATAAAATTATAGTTTGTACATCTAACTAGTTTTTACATGAAATTGATTTTGGCAACATTCAATTAAACGTCCGCATAATGCCACACACGTCATGTTTAGTTTTTGACACGAACAAGCTTTCGTTGCACAATTTTTTTTACAGTTGCACAGTTTTGCTAAGTCTTCAGGTAATGGCGGTTTTGTTAAATACAGTGGCTTTATTTGGTTATCATAGAAAACATAACCAAAACCAGAGAAATCTAAAGATCACGACAAGTGCATTTGGCCTTTTTATTGTATTGAAAAAAAAAAAAAAAGGTTGAAGAAGATTTTACTAATCAGGCAGTATCTGACAATAATTTTTTCATGAATAAAAATAAATGTTAAAAATAAATGTTTCTGTTAACTTGAATAAATAAAAAAGTTATCAAAAGTATCCAAAAAAGTAAAAAAAATCACATGATACAAAACTATTAATCGGCAAATATGACAAAGTGTTATGAAAAATGTTAATAATAATTTTTTTAAACTTATTACCTCTGAAAAACAGCAAAAAATTGATTCAGCGCGTCATCGGGCTTTCTCTTACCCATCTTATACATTGAGTTGGAAGTGAGATAGAAGTACTTCTCTTTAAAAGTACACGCGCGTAGGAAGCATATTGTTATAACGTAAAGAAAACATAACAACAAACAAAATTTTGAAAATGTATTTAGGTTTTTTTGTTTATTATAGTTTGAATCCGAAAATAACGATCAAGGAGAAGCGACAGTAGCTGTCGCTGCCTTTGATATCGGATGTACCTTTTTTACAGCATGACTTTGATTGATACACAACTTAGCCTTAGCACGCTGAGAAAACATGCATATTTTCTACACTGAGCGAAATAGTTTGGCAAATTATCTGAAATCATTGTCCATGCGCAAATGTTGTAATGTGATTTAATTACATTGAAGTAGTTAGGGTTAATAGCAATGGTGAAATTTCGGCACCAAAATATAATTCATTATGTAATAATTAATTATTTGTTATAAAAGTAAAAGACGTTTATTATTTTATAATCTATCTATAAAATTTGTTCAATATTTGGTTTATTTATTGTTAAAAATGTAATAAAAGCCCCATTTTTAAAATTAAATTACCTTTTCCTTAAGTAAAAATAAGGTAAATAAAATAAAGGGTGCCAAAAAAAATTTAGGTAACAATAAAAAAGATATTAAGTTTGAGAGATTTAACTAAATATTTGCAATGTGCTTATATTTTCAAAACTTTTAGGTTTAAAAAGTACTTACATATTTTTATAATTTCTGGATTTATATTATATTAAAAGGACTTTCAAGTTTATCACTCATTTCTCGCTAAGTTAAGCCAGATGTCATTTAAGGTTTATGTATTTAGAGTTAAATACCTGGCCTGGTTATTACCCAGACATTACAAATATGTCCATTGGACGTCCATTCGATATACAATTTTGGATGTCTAGACGTCCAAAAATGAGTTTTTTCTGGACTTCCGACATCCAATGGACGTCCAGTGAAGTATACAAATGGCACACTTTTGACCATTCAGAGGACGTTCAATTCTGGAATATATTTGGACGTCGAATACTCGACATTCAAAAAAACGTCCAGGATTATATTTCCATTGAGACCACATCCCCACATTTTTTACAGAACCGCAACTTACCACACACTATTTTATATTATTAATAATTTGTTTATTATTTTCGCAAAACGCTATACACCATTAATTTTTTTATTAAAAATTGCTTGACCTGAGCAGGTATCGAACTCACGACACATCCATTATCGTTTTACGCTTTTAATTGCTAGACGAGCTCAACCAAACAGTTATAATTGAATAAGATTTCAAACTTCCGCTGATAGAATGAAATGCAATATTAGTTATATTAAAAAAAGAAGTATATATTATAGATGAGTATTATCTGGTAGGCTTAATAAATAATGACCTAAGATGGACGTCCACTGGACGTCAAAATACTACTAAACTTAAAATTAAGTCCAAAAACAGACGTTCTCTGAGTATCGATATTCAGCTGTCAATTTAATTAGCATAAACGGACGTACACTGGATGCCCGGATATGGACGTCCTGACCCTCAAATAGATCTAAAGTGGACGTACATTGGACTATGTGTGCTATCTGGGCATAGACGAATTTTTTTAAATAGTACTTATTTAAGTATGCACCAATATTTCCAAAATCAACTCTAGTATGATTCATTCAATAAATGTAAATATGAATGGGCAAAACATCTTTATATTGACATAATTGTACCTTACAATTTAGCCATAATAAAGGGATTTCGCCCATTTTGACCAATCCTAATTGAAACACGTGAATTTATTATATTTTTTTAAATATAATTTTAAAATAAAATAAACAAAATCTCCAGTTCATTGTTTATTAAATTTATTTAAAAGAATAAAACATATATTTCACAAAATACAATACCTACATATGAAAAATAAAATGTCAAAAATGTTTAAATCATTATACTTTATTTTTATGCATGTGATAAAATTCTTAGTTTCCTAATAACTTTGTTGGCACATTTTATATCTGCATTAGAATACCTAAGTGTGTAAAAATCTTATTACTACACAAAACAAACACCAAAAAATATCACTTAACATTGCTCACGTACTGAACACAACTTGGACTGACTTTGACAGATAACATCATTTTGAGTGATACACAACTTATTTTCGCACATGGGCGTTACAAAACGGTACGCTAAAAACACCAAGCTGTCGCTTCTCCTTGATCGTTATTCTCGGGTTTGAATATTCGGTAAAAAATTTCAAATTATAGCATTTTAAATTTTAAGGTATATTATTTAATTCAAGAAAATTAGAATTTTCGTCAATTTCGGATTTTAAAACATTCATAACAATTAAAGGGTTAAAGATACGATGATGGGCGTAAGGACTTTTTTATTCAAAATATCCTAAAGAATATAAAAAAAATTAATTCATTGCAAAAAATGCATTTTTTCTGGCTTAATTAATTTTTCGTTGTTTAAACAATAACATCAACCGATATCGAGTGTCATCTTACACTTTTATAATCAGGAAAGCCTTCCGTCAATTAAAAAAAAATTACGAATTAAAACAATTTTGCAAACGAATGCGCCACTATGCCCTGCACTATTAGAACTTTTTCCTCATGGTTTTGATCGTTTATAGTCGAGGAGTCCATTTTCACCTTGAGATTTTTTTGAAATCATCTTTTAGGACACCTATTTCCGTTTTTACCTTCTCAACTCTTTCTTCACATTTTTTTAATAGTTTTCCTGTTGAATGAGAGCATTGTAATTTTGAATCCCAAGTACTTCTTTATTTTCTCAAAAAGTCCATTTCATCATTGTTAACAATTTTTGAAGACAAATTATTTACAACATTGTGTTGTTTACTATACAAATTAGAGGGGTTGCAATTATAGCATAAAAATCGTTTGCCTTTGGAGTCCTTCAATTTATCAGCATAGAAATTAATTTAATCACTCATTCAGTTGGCACAATCCCTATGCAACCAGCCTGCACATTTATTGCACTTAATGCTGTAATTGCTTTTTTATAACACTCAAGCATTTGATGCATGACATTATGAATAGTAAAACAATATTTAAATATTAGTCTTACCTATATATTTTATAGAAATATTGGCAGGATCTCTTCTTATCTTATCAGCAATGCTATTAGGCCACTTTTTCACTATTTTTGTTTTTACTTGGATTAAAATAAAATGAAATAAAAACTAATTCACTGCATTTATGCAGATTACAAATGATGTAGTTTGTGATGTAAACATTATATAGATGGGCTCATTCCATCATCTTTCTCACTATTCACTAGCAAAGCCTGCCAGGTCCAAGGTGAATCTTCCCATCAATATAAAAAAATTTAGAAATTTAAATCCTTAATCCAGTATATTCCGCAGTAAAACTGGCCAACAGCAGTCTCCGAAGAGATGGCTGAAGAAGACTTAACTTACTAAATCTTATGTAAAATTATATTTGTTTAATAAATAATGTATCAGATTTTTATTTTTAATGTTTTATTCTTGATAAGTTTGGAAAAGGACACAAATGAAATAAATATAAAAATATTTTTTTGATATAGATTGTTCAAACATCCATGAAAATAACTGTAATTAGCTTCCTCACCTACTAATGAACATATAAAAATGTATTATGTATACCTACACAATTTTATTTAAAAATGTTTTTTCTTTCTACTGTAAAATTGAGTGTTGTAGATGTGTTGTCCTGTGTTTCAAAAATTGAATTCTTTTAACAGCAATTTTATATGTATTAGAACCACTTCTAAAAGGTACCCTAGTTAACTAAATGTTTAGAAAATTAAAGCTCCCGCTGCGATTGAGTATGAAAAACTAAATTTTTGTGACTATATTTCCTATGGTTATAAATCATTATAGATTCAGTAAAACACTAAAGCACGCACAAAGGCTAGAGTTTCTACTTTACTAATAAGTATGTAGAAATGTAGATGAACCTACTAAATAAACCTAATTTAAATTAAAAGCAATTTTAAAAAAATAATTAAACCTTACAAATAGGTGGGAAACTTACTAATTAGAGTGTCGTCAAGAATAAAAGTTCCATTGATCCAACAATATGTATCAATCACTTCTTTTCTTTGTTCAACGTCGCAGTCTATGGGCTCTCCAAAATATTGCTTGCTAGTTAATAACACCGAGAAAGTCGCTATTAATATCACTGTAACTTTATAATGTAATTTAAATACATTATTATCGGTATGGACGGTCCCTATTTTCATAAAAGATTTTACATTTTTATAAAAGTCTATCATTTTAATCTGAAAAACTGTATTTGTATACCAAACTCTATGGTTATCAAATAGGGACAACGTCTAAGTTACAATTTATTCATATAATTAGATAATAATTACTTCTATAAGGATAATTGAATAAATCAAAAAAACATTTTAAAAACTACTGTAAATTAAAAAATGCCGGTGTCGGTACACGTTAACTCGACGTTCAACCGATACGTCAAATTCGAATTTCGAATAAGAAAACTAAAAGATGTGCCTACTCTTCAACCATCAGAAACAAAGGAACTATGATTAGTTTGAACTATGAAGACTAGAGAGAAGGAGGCGAATCGGCAATGGACAAAATTCAAATTTCCATCCTTCTCTTTATAAAGTTCGCGAAATTGACTGTAGTTGGCATGTCGAACAGTAATGCTGTCAATTTTCTATGTAAGTCAATATAAAATGAAGTGTTTTCTTTTAAAATTTGTGAAAAGAATCAAAATAATGTGAAAAAGAGTACCTGAGTACAAGTAACATGAGTGACAAAAACCATCAAAGCAAGATTTACTTCGTTCCAGATTGTAAAACGGGATACAAATCAGATGTAATACTAAAGAAAACACAAAGAGAAATCAATTCAATGTCTTTTTAAAGCTTCCAATGTAAGTAAAACAATGTATTTGTCTAAATATAATATTTATTATAAACTAGTCACAACACGTATCACGGAGTGTAGTTTATTTTATTACAAATTTCTATAAAATAAAATTTTACAGTCGTAGATCCTGGCTTACAAACAACAATAATTATACATTAAATTTTACTTACTAGAAAATAAAATTTATTTTTTATAGTTTTAATGATAGATAAAAAGTTGCTACTGTTATTTTTTTGTTGGGTCCCAATTTTGTCATTGTAAATGTTTTTTTGTAGGATCCTAAATGCTTAGAACAGTGGTAGCATATATATCGTTCCTATGGCCAATAAAACACTTTCTAGAGATGATGCTGTTCTACACATTTTAGAAGATATTTCTAAATATTATGAGGATTCTTCTTACTGATGATATTGCAAAATAAAAAGGGTAAAGCCGAAATTAAAGGATGAGGTAATGTACATTCCCAAATCTGCCTTTATGCCTGAATTATAACAATAAAAAAATCTGTTAACTGTTTTATTTTGCTCTAAAAACTATATTTTGATATAATTCAAAAAATTTAGACAAAATTGTACTTACCAAATTTCACCATGTAACAAATCTTTTCGAATTTGGTCCTACCTACCCAGACAGCACACCAAATCCTTTGGATATCTACTGAACATCCCAATATCCACTGAATGTCCATGGTGGATATCTATTTTATATCCATGAAATGTAATTTACAGACATGCAAATGTCCATAAATAATAGTAGTTATATAGCAAATTATTAAAAAATTACGCCATTGTGCTCGCCATTGTGGCTAATAGTACCGTTCAAATATTTAAATTAATTTTTTTAAGGTGTATTCAATATTCCATGGACATCCACTATAAATATAAATATATCAAAGTTTAAGCGCGGACGCAAACCATCGTGGATATCTACTAGATGTAGTATAGATGGCGATACCACTTTCGTATCTACTCATGCTCAACCCGCCGTAAATCAGTTCGATCGAATTTTTTTATCACAATCAGACTATTAGAGACTGGAGTCGAGAATTTCCATTTATTGCTGAAGAGTCATAATAAGGATGACTTTCTCACTTAGTGCCCTTATAGTGGGCAAAATCAAAGGCAGATTGTTGGAAATATTTTTATCTCTATTTTCTTTCGACGTTATTCAATAATCATTGGTTATTACTTATGAACCTTTACTAAAGATACCTATAAAATATTTTGCTGAATATCTCAATTCTATATCCATATTGAATATCTACAAAATATATTCTGTGGATATCTCTGGGATTTCTTGTATTGTCTGGAAGATACTCATTAGATATTTTGCTGAATATCCATAGGATATCTTCTATTCGCTCCGTGCGAAGTCATGGAAAGGGAAGCAAAAGCGATACTAGCGCTAGCTGCGGATAATTTGTGCATTTTAGGGGGATATTTTGTAATTTTGGCATATCAAATACACGTATACATTTTACTTTTTTTCAAAAAGTAGGTAAAAACAACACAATAAGCAACCGGAGTTGCTGTGTTGAAAATTGTACAAATACTAGCAAAAAAAACAGTGAAACTTATATAACAAATTTCACTAACAAAGTGGAAATTAAATCAAAGAAATAAATGGATAGGTGTACAATAAGAAGAAAAATTACCTTTATTTTTGTGATAATAACAGTAATGCTGGAAATAGTAGACATCAGAAACTAGAAAGTTTTTAAATAAACAATAAATTATCATTTTACGATGTTCTTTAATATCCTTTATTCTTAAATGTTCATTCAGCAAGGACTAGATTTCAAGATTTCTGCCGTTGATTATAATATTTTTGGCTGGTATGCAATTTTGTGACTTACTGATCGGAAACCAGTTTTAATCATTCATTCTATGTTTTCTTTAGAACAAAAATAAAAATATAAGTAGCGATCCTTTTTATACATTTTAACTTCACGCTATTATAAATGGTTTCTTCAATGACAACTTATTAGACTTAGGCAACTTCTCATACATTTTCCAGTAAATACTGTTGCCTGCCTATATTTTATTATTGAATTTTAATGATTATACATAATTTTCTTCAATTTAAGCGTGAAAAATATATAATAATAAATTAATGTTTTAATTGTTTTATAAATCCATATACTTTTATTAAAACTAACATATATACTTTTTATTTACGAATTCTATTAAAAATTGTATTTGTCAGTATAGGCAGAAATACTCCTTTAATACCAAAACAAATTGGCGCTGCTGTCGCGCACGGAGCGAATATTCTGAATATAAACGGACATTTGGATATTCATATTAGATCCACGGAATATTTCTGATATCCTGTGGATATATTGGATATCCAGAAAAGATATTCTGTGGATATTTCTGGGATTTGGTGTGTTGTCTGGGTACCTAATTTGCATTTTATAAAAATAAAATTAAATAATTTATCAATTAAGGACCGATTCCACCGTTGTGTTAAACTAATATTAAAATGACATTTTTACATTAACAATGTCATTTTAACCTCTGTTTAACACAACGGTGGAATCGGCCCTAAAACATGTAACACTTATTTAATTATGTGCTTTATTTGTTAATAAAAAAGTTTTTTAATATTTTGACAAAATTATGTAAAATTTCAATAAGAAACCATGTATTTTGAACTGTACTAGGAGCACCAGCGCCCTTGCGGTGAATTAAAAAAGCTCAATTAGCGTTCGGTTTTGGGACCGTATTTCCAGTATGCCGATTCGCTTCCTTATCTCTATTCTTCATAGTTTGAACCATTGGAACTACTGAACAATAAACCTACCAGTGTAAAAATAATCGATGTCACACGTCACATCCAGCTGACAGCGCATGTGACAGCGATAGCTGACACATAAGTTTGCTAAGTGAGGTTATTTCCAGTTGTTTCAAAAAATAAAATTATTATCAAATCACTGTAAAAATTAAAAATATGAGCGACAATATAGCTCTGATAAACTACTTAAAAGTAATTTTAGGTGATGATGTATCACAAGATATCGTAAGGTTAGTCCAAAGCCCCCATTTTAGAAAATTGTGTCTTTATTATTTGTGTATTTTAGCTACATAAAAAGTATTGAACATGAAGAAGACTACGCTGAATTCATGGACAACATCCTAGACAAAAATAATGCTAGTCACATAAATTCCTTCGAAGGCATAAAAGGTATACTATTTGGTAAAAAGCAAAAAAACAAGTCTTTTAATAATAACCCAAGTTCGAGTAACAACTCTAATAATAATAATCAGCAAAAATCGAATTTACAGAAAAAGGGCAAGACAAAATTCAAAGATATAAACATTTTTCAAGAAAAGAAAAAGCAAAAAGAAGGTTAGAAATTTGGAACTGAAGTTGATATATTTGAAGTATTTTATTATTTTCTGTTACTTTAGGTCGTACTGCTTGTGATTGTATGGGACAAGAACATGAATTTATGAACAATTGTGTTGTATGTGGTAGAATTCACTGCTTTGAGGAAGGACCTGGGGAATGCTTGTTTTGTGGAAACCCTGTGAGTAAAATATTGGATGTTTTTCTAATTAATTTATTCATGTTTGTTTATTTATTTATTTATTTATTGGTGCTATTTTCCCATAAAAATATTACAAATATGTGTTATACAAATGTATAAATCTCCTTTAATTTCATCACATCTCAAATTCAAAAAGCTAAATGTAAATCAATCCTGCAATTTTCATATATTTACATTTTAACACAAATTAATAAAATTGAAAACCATGTCCTATTTGTACAATAAAATCACCTACAGATGTGACTATGAAGACAAGAGATATGGAGGCGAATCGACATACTTGAAATATGGTCCCTAAAAACGAATGCTAATTGAGCTGGTGCTGCTAGCGCTGTTAAAAATGCATGGCTTCTTTTGAGTATTTTACACAATTTTGTGAAATAAAAATAAACTTGTTTATTGCTAAATAAAGCACAGAACATTCTGTTGTACTTATTTCTAAATAAGTCTTGCATGTTTTAATTGATAAATGATTAAATTTTATCTATATAAAATACAAATTAAGTAGGTATGACCAAATTCGAAAAGGTTTGTTAAATGGTGAAATTTGGTAAGTACAATTTTGTAGCTAAATATAGTTTTAAGAGCAAAATAAAACACAGTTAACAGATTTTTTATTGTTTTAATACAAGTCTAAAGGGAGATTTGGGAATGTACGTGGTAATGCCTCATCCTTTAATTTTGGCTTTCTCTTCTTTATTTTGCTAACAGTACCAACAGTAAAAAGAGTCATAATATTTGGAAATATCTTCTAAAAAGTGTAGAACAGTGCTTTATCGGCCCCAGGAACGATATATATGCTGCCACTGTTCTATGCGTTTAGGATTAAAAAACATTTACAATGACAAAATTGGGGTTCAACAAAAACATAACAGTAGTAACTTCATCTAACATTATAACTATAGTAAACAAATTTTCTTTCCTCTAAGTTAAATTTAATGTGTAATTATTGTTGTTTGTTGACTGTAAAATTTTATATTATAGAAACTTGTAATAAACTACACTCCATAAGATATGGGTTGTGGCTAGTTTACAATAAATATTATGTTTAGAGATAAATACATTATTTTACTTACATTAGAAGCTTTAAAAAGACATTGAATAGATTTCTCCTTGTTTTTTTTTAGTTTTACATCTGATTTGTATCCCGCTTTACAATCTGGAACGAAGTAAATCTTGCTTTGATGTTTTCTGTCACTCATGTTACTTGTACTCAGGTCACATCACATACTTTGATTACTATACGGGGCAAGAGAGAGGTCCGACACGCCCACCATAGGGCGCGGCCATTTTAAACCCTATGACACAGTTTATAGCTAAAGAATCAGATCGCTCACTCTGCGTCGGCACTTTTTATCTCAATGTTCCAGTTTATACACTGCGCAACTCAGATAATACAATATATGACAACCGCCTATAATAAAACAGCAGTCTTCTGCGTATTCTGAATTTGTATCCCAGAGTGGATGTTATTTTGGAACTTTCAACTGGTCCGAGTGAGCTAACTGATTCTTTAGCAATAAACTGTGACTCCAAAAATAATATTCACTGACAGCAGCAAGCAAAACATCAGGTGCGTTTTAATCATCCGCTTCTGCTTCCGGAAAATTGTCGGTTCAGTCGTTCTAACCTGTCAGATTAAAACAAGAAAACCGACAATTCAGAAGCAGAAGCGGATGATTAAAACGCACCTATTAAAAATATTGCGCCAAGATGTAGGCAACACGTAATAAGGGTTCAAAATGGCGGAGTTTTCTATCTCCTTTTAAAAGGCACTCAGAAAGCTGCGCAGTGCGACCATTCTCCGTATAGGAAAAGAAAATCAAAGTATGTGGGTCACATACTTTCATTGCGTTCGGTCTGCCACGTTCTTCTAACTCCTTTAACACTTTTTACTCCAAACGACCCTTTTAGCGTTCGGTTAGTCCGATTAGTGACAGTTTAACATGTTTAAATGTCATTTAAAAGCACCTTAAAAAACTCCGCTTTTGTCCCGCTCCAGCCCCTGACTATCCGAACTCGCCTATTGATTACTATACGGTGCAAGAGAGGTCTGACACGCCCAACATAGGGCGCGGCCATTTTGATTCCTATGCCACAGTTTATAGCTAAAGAATCAGATCGCTCACTCTCCGTCGGCACTTTTGATCTCAATGTTCCAGTTTATACACTGTGCAACTCGGATAATACAATATATGACAACCGCCTATAATAATAAAACAGCAGTCTTCTGCGTATCCTGAATTTGTATCCCTGGAGTGGATGTTATTTTGGAACTTTCAACTGGTCTGAGTGAGCTAACTGATTCTTTAGCAATAAACTGTGACTCTAAAAATAATATTCACTGACAGCAGCAAGCAAAATATCAGGTGCGTTTTAATCATCCGCTTCTGCTTCCGGAATTGTCGGTTTAGTCGTTTTAACCTGTCAGATTAAAACAAGAAAACCAACAATTCCGAAGCAGAAGCGGATGATTAAAACGCACCTATTAAAAATATGGCGCCAAGATGTAGGAAACACGTAATAAGGGATCAAAATGGCGGAGTTTTCTGTCTCCTTTTAAAAGGCACTCAGAAAGCTGCGCAGTGCGACCATTCTCCATATATAGTAAAATAAAATCAAAGTATGTGACTCAGGTACTTTTTTCACATTATTTTGATTCTTTTGTAATGAAGTCAATTTTCATTATTATTTTTTTCAACTAATTCTGGGTATTAATTTCAATTTTTACTTAATTTTAACTTCGTGGATATGCCCTGTATATCATCAGTTTTATCGCTGTTCAAACCATCATCGAGATACTCTGCCTGCGCGCGCGACCATGTTGGGATTTTCTGATGTGGAAGGGCATGGCGACGACTGAACCAGCTCCGAGATTGAATTGAAATTTTAGTTCCTAATATACCGATTTATCGAACAGACTTGCTTTTACACCGTCAAATTGAATAGTCGATTAAACGATAGATACGATTCCGAAATTTATTTCACGCCGCGAATTTACCGAAAGGTAAAGTTTGTTGTCATTTTCTTTTTATAATTTCTTTCTTGCCCGAGTCTTTAAGCCGTGCTATTTGAAACCGATTTAATTTGATTTATTTTTAAATAAAACAATATTCCGTGTTGAGTTAGGAATTGGAATTTGTTTTGATTGTGAAATACATTAATTTATTCCTTTTCGTTTGTAAATATTTTAAAACAATATATGTGTCAATGTTAACTGGCCGTATTACTGGTTGTTAATTCCTAAATTTATTTCCCCCTTATATTTCAGCTAGTGATTAATTCTGTACCAGCCAAAGCAACGATTAAAGCCCGTTACTTGTGGCCTACTATTACCTGTGTCTAAGTGACCTTTGACCCCTGGAATTTTTCATTTCCATCTGTAGCTACCCGAGTACTTTCGACGCCGTTTCGAAAGTTCGTGGAGTAAACCATCACCAAAAATCTGGCGCTTGAGAACCGCCCGTAACCAGCGTCATTCGTAAGGAATCGTTTTCTCTGTGGCGAGAAAACCCCGAGCAGGGACCTGATTACTTCCCGATAGGTAATCCCTTGCTATTTCCGCCCTGCCACCGTATTCGATACTTTTTCTGTCTTGCTTTACTTTTTCATAACCCCGTCTTTTTGAAACCCCTGTACGCTTAGTACGTAATCTAGTAATTAGAACTTGATAAGCCGTTCACGATTAAGTACTACAGTTTCAACGCCGCCTAGATACCTTTTTTTTTTTTGTAAATATTTTTCTTTCTTAAACCCCCTTCCGTAATAACAAAAACCCGCCCGCGTTCGTTTCTTCTTTGAGTTTATGTCCGAAACAACTGCCGCTGACATCAGGAAAACAGACACGGAACACGACTTATCTACGGAATTAATAGTACCGACCGCCGTAACACACGAAACAGACACATCAGAACCAACAGAGGTTCAATCTACGACCACTACCCAAGTATCCTGGGTATATCTATTAAAGAATCCAGAGATTACTAAAGAATTGGAAAATAATAAACTCGCTGTCAGTGGCACTGTACAGGAAAAGCGGAAACGTTTGGTTTCGTTCCTGCCATGCATAAATACAAATTTGACACGTAAACCGCTTGGTGAATTAGCACAAACGACCATGGCACCCCCACCCGCCGTTAAGCTTGAACCAATAAAAGTCCTCGATTGGAAAGTCTCTTTTGGAAACCGAGATGATCCAGTAGCTTTTCTAGAAAGACTAGATGAGATTTGTGTTGCGAAAGAGATTGATAAAGACCGACTGTTACCATATTTGCCTGAACTACTCTCCGGAGATCCAGCGTTATGGTTCAGAAATGTTCGTACCTCCTTAAATACCTGGAATGATTTTGAAATTAGTTTCCGAACTTTCTTTTTTCCTATTAATTATCAAATCGACTTAGAGGTCGAAATAAGCCGAAGGTTGCAGCGTCGAAATGAAAGCGTAACCAGCTACATCATTGACTTGCAAACCCTGATGAGACGTCATGGGAAGCTAGATAAGGAACAAAAATTAACCTGGCTATACCGAAATCTGCTCCCCGAATATCGTCAGCAAATCCGAAAGACGGATTACTCCGATGTCATTACTTTTAGTCAAGTGGTCCGAGAATTACAGGGCATACCGTCGACTAGCTCCGCTCCGAGGAATACCGCTCCCCGTTATTCTTTACAATCCGAGCCTATCCGATACCCCGTTCACGAGTCTACCCGATTTAAACCATCCGAGTCCCCCCGCTATTTCCCTTCCGATCCGCCACGTTTCTACCATGCTAAGCCACCCGCAACCGACAATAAACCCGTTTCCTCACCTGTCCCCACCGTCCATAATCAGCCGCAAAGATTTGAACCACAATCATCCACCTCACGTAGAGAAGAGTTGTGCTGGAGATGTGGACAGAAAGGACATCTGAGAACCGATTGGCAGAATCCAGCAAGGATATTCTGTTCCCGGTGCCAAAAGGACGGCGTATTGTCAAAAA